ACCATGATAGGTGGAATAAGAACCTCCCATGTATGTGATTCCCTCTTACCAGACATGCTCAACCCCAGGTTAGATGACAACTGATATGGACAAATGGGAAGAGAGCCACTCCTTCACCTCCTAAGAAGACCAAAGGCACACTCACTAGGTGGTTGCCACTGTGCTCAATGATTCCCAGCGCTGTGTCATTTAATCTCAGAGCAGCCTGCAAGGTAGTTGGGCTCCCAAAAGGAAACAGCATGCTCAAGTCAAGGTGATCTAAGGCCAGATTGATAAAGAGATTTTTTTTCTTTTTCTTGGTCTTTTTGAGACAGGGTCTCCCTGTAGCCCCAGCTGGCCTGGTACTCGCTATGTAGACCAGACTGGCCTCAAACTCACAGAGATTCGCCTGCCTCTGCCTCCTGAGTGCTGGGACTAAAGGAGTGCCCCACCTCGCCTGGCATGATAGAGATTTTTTTAAAGCAGAGGAGGTATAAAGAAATTCTAGCTAGGCTGTTAGGGTAAAAAGACCCCAAAGAAATGTTCTTGACTAAAAGTCAAAATGTCCTTAGGCCTGTTAGCAACATACTCTGTTCCAAAGGCCAAAAATATCAAAAGTATTTGGGAGCTTGTAACTAATCCTTAAAAGATTTTAGGGTTACCTCTTCAGAGGGGAGAATGTTGGAGGGGAGGGAGTAGGCATGGATTTGATCAAAACACTTTATATGCATGTATGAAATTCTCAATAAAGTTTTTGTTAAAAGTTTTTAAAAAAAAAAAGAAAGAAACTCTAAGACTAAGACAGTAGAAAAGGTTAGAGACAAGGGAGCCCCACGCTTGGAGGAATGAAGAGAGATGAGCATGGAGAAACATAGACTGAATAGGAACAACCACTTCTCTGATGAGGGACACAGGCAGCCCAGGGCCGCCCCACAGGCAGGAGCTGGAGGGGTAACCTCTGTCATCTGTGGTCTCCCCTCCTGCTGTCTCATTTCAAGGTTCATGCCAAAGTCTGTGGCATGCATTGGTCTGCAGACCAGGGTTCCCCCGTCTAAACCAAGGTAGCACAGGCAGGACAATAGAACACCTCCAGAAAGCCCACATCACCTCCCACCTCACAGAAAACACATCTGTTCTCTGGACCAGCATCACTGCCAAAGTGAGGAGGGTCACTGACTAGACTCTGATCAATTCCTGCCCTAATTCCTATCTACCTTCCACAATCGTTCGTATCACACCAGGAGTGAGCCCAAACAAATATCATAGGTTTAATCAGTGCCTTCTTACTCAGCTCTGTGAATGTATGGTTTGAAATGACAGGGCACCAAGCCAACAGGACACATTAAAAGCTTTCAGAAGAACAGAGCCTGTCTTCAAAACTGAAGCCCAGGCTAGTCCTTCTTCCCAGGCACCCCTCTGTTCCCGGGTCCTCTCTTCTCCCATGCCCCACCTCTTCTACACCCCTCTTCTTTCCCACACTCCTCCTCTCTTTCGGATGGCCCTCCCTCTTTCCCAGGGTCCTCTCGTCTCTCTGCCACCATCCTTTTCTCTTGTTCCATCCTCCTCTATCTTCACTTCAAACACTGCCCCTTTATTTGAAAACCTCTTCTTTCACATTGGAGTTTGGCTTAACTTCAAAAACAGTCTTTTTCCAAAGTTGAAGGTTCTGATTGAAAAGGCAAAAGAGTTACACACTCACATATGAACAGAGCCAATTGGTGGTAGCCCAGATGTCATGCTTTCCTACTCTGAAAACTCTGCACTCAAGCGTAGTCAGGGAGCGCAAGGGTTCTACATTCCTATCACAGAAAGCAAAGCAATGTTTATCAACATGTTACCAGCCAAGCTCCAATCTGCCCTCAGCTTTCTGCACACCAAAAACAATACATGCATACACATAAAATAAAAATAATAAATAAAATTTTTTTAAATTTTTTTTAAACTTGTTCAACCCTATGGAAAGCAGTGTGGAGAACTCTTTAAAAACTACAAATGAACCTACCATTTGACCCAGTTATACCACTCCTTGGCATATACCCAAAGACAATGCAAGAAAGCTTAAAATCAACACCAGAAGAAACCCTCATAACTAAAAGTGAACCGACCATATGACCTGGTTATATCACTCCTTGGCATATACCCAAAGGAATCATCCCACTGCAGAGATACTTACACAGCCATGTTTGTCACTGATCTTTTCACAACAGCAACCTAAGTGTCCCTCAACTGATGAGTGGATAATAAAAATGGTACATTAACACAATGGAGTTCTACTCAGCAGTAAAGAAAGACAAAAATCATGAACTTTGCAGGTAAACAGATAGAACTAGAAACTGTTATACTAAGTGAAGTAACACAAACTCATAAAAAAAATCAACATATGTTCTCCCTCATATGTGGATCCTATAACCAAACCCTGATAAATTAGTTTGTATCCAGACATAACTACAGGAACCAGGATAATGGAAAGGAAACAGGGAGGTAAAGGAAAAGAAAGAACCTGAA